GAAGAAGAGAGGAAAACCAATGTACATGGAAACTAATATTCACATTAGTGAGGAAAGGATAAAGGCCAATTAATAATCCATATAGAAATTAGTTCCCTCTCCATAATGTATACAAAAATAAATCCTGATGGATGAAAGCTGATATGTAAAAAATAATATTGGAAAACTCTTAATAGAAAAATATATTTTTTGGCCTCCATGTAGAAAAGGATTTCTTAAGACACACAAAAAAGTACAAACTACAGGAAAATACGATTGGATAAATCTGATGATAATAAAACAAAATCTCTGGACATAAAGAGACTAAATTAAAATCTGAGGCACAGATGAGGAAAAGCAATAACTGATTCAGATGTGGTTTCTGGAGTATATGAAGAATTCCTACAAGAAAACAAAAACTCAATAGAAGAATTCACAAAGAAAATGAACAAATAATTCATTGACAAGGAGATCTGCATAGCAAATATATGGGGGAGAAAAAGGTCCTCCTGACTAGCCGTCAGTCAAGTGCAAATGAAAGCAACAGTAAGATATTGTTTTTCACACCCATCAGATAGGCAAAAATTTTAAAGTGTCACAATATTAAGAGTGTCAAGAATGGGGAGAAACACAAGCTCTCATTTATTCTGTACAAACACAAGTTGGCACAGATTTTAAAGAACATTTGGTGGTGTCTTGTAAAGCTGGAGACACACATGCCCTATCTCCCTCCAGTTCTGTTTCCAGGTGTGTGCTGAAATGTTTTTAGCAAAGCTATGGTGTTTTTTTTGCCTCACACCAGTTCTCCAACTCTCTGATACTACAATTTATTTCAATTCTGATACTAACTAATTAGAGTTAGCACAGACCCCACAGGTGAACGGTTGAGTCCCTCAAGACTGCCCCCACCTACTTCATACCAGGCACAAAGTCCGGATTGCCTCCTACTGTTGTTTAGTCCCTAAGTCAGGTCTGACTCTTTGTGACCCCATGGACTGCAGCACACCAGGCTCCTCTGTCTTCCACTATCTTCTGGAGTTTGCTTAAACTCATGTCCATTGGGTCAGTGATGCTATCTAAACCATCTCATCTTCTGCTGCCCCCTTCTCCTTTTGCCTTCAGTCTTTCCCAGCAAGAGAGTTCCAGAAAAATATCTACTTTTGCTTTATTGACTATGCCAAAGATATGAGTGGATCACAACAAACTGTGGAAAATTCTTAAGGAGATGGGAATACCAGACCACCTGACCTGCCTTCCGAGAAACCTGTATGCAGGTCAAGAAGCAACAGTTAGAACTGGACATGGAACAACAGACTGGTTCCAAATCGGGAAAGGAGTTTGTCGAGGTTGTATATTGTCACCCTGCTTCAACTTATATGCAGAGTACATCACAAGAAACGCTGGGCTGGATGAAGGACAAGCTGGAATCAAGATTGCCAGGAGAAATATCAGTAACCTCAGACATACAGATGACACCACCCTTATGGCAGAAAGCGAAGAAGTAAAGAACCTCTTGATGAAAGGGAAAGAGGAGAGTGAAAAAGTTGGCTTAGAACTCACCATTCAGAAAACTAAGATCATGGCATCTGGTTCCATCACTTCATGGCAAATAGATGGGGAAACAATGGAAACAGTGAGAGACTTTATTTTTTTTGGGCTCTGAAATCACTGCCGATGGTGACTGCAGCCATGAAATTAAAAGATGCTTGCTCCTTGGAAGAAAAGCTATGACCAACCTAGACAGCATATTTAAAAGCAGAGACATTGCTCTACCAACAAAGGTCCGTCTAGTCAAAGCTATGGTTTTTCCAGTAGTCATGTGTGGATGTGAGAGTTGGACTATACAGAAAGCTGAGCACCAAAGAATTGATGCTTTTGAACTGTGGTGTTGGAGAAGACTCTTGAGAGTCCCTTGGACTGCAAGGAGATCCAACTAGTCAATCCTAAAGGAAATCAGTCCTGAATGTTCATTGGAAGGACTGATGTTGAAGCTGAAACTCCAATACTCTGGCCACCTGATGGGAAGAACCAACTCATTGGAAAAGACCCTGATGCTGGGAAAGATTGAAGGCAGGAGGAGAAGGGGACAATGGAGGGTGAGATGGTTGGATGGCATCAGTGACGCGATGAACATGAGTTTGAGTAAACTCTGGGGGTTGGTGATGGACGGGGAAGCCTGGTGTGCCACAGTCCATGGGGTCACAAAGAGTTGGACACGACTGAGCGACTGGGGTGAACTGAATTGAACTTTCCCAGCATCAGGGTCTTTTCCAGTGGGTCGGTTCTTCCGGTCAGGTGGCCGAAGAATTGGAGCTTCAGCATTGATGCTGTCCCCTGTACACAGTTTCCATTGTATATGAGCTAGAAGGAGAGAGAAATTATATGAAAACATAACTAATGGGCTGAAACTTACTTAACAGTGAATGAACTCATCCTAGGTGCACAGCCTGATAAATCTTCCCAAGGTAAACACTTCCAGAGCGTAGTACAGAACCCAGCACCGCAGAAGGTCCTCCCAGTGATAGACCCACCCCCTGGAAAGAATAATGACCATTGTGACTTCCATCAGCGTCAATGAATTGTGTTTGTGTTTTTATGTTTGAATGAAGGAATCAAGTAGAATCCTACAGTAGATTCTCTTTAGCAGCTGACTGCATTTTCTCAGCGTTGTCTCTAAGATTCATCCTGAGAGGCTGTTTTTTAATCATCCTCAGTGCTGATCCAATCAGAAGGCAGGGGCTCCATGCTCAACGTGACAAAGAGCTCCATGTTCATGCCCCCAGCCCTGCAAAGCAGCAGAGAGGGAGAGCTAACCCTTCTGAAGGGTTCTTTCTTTTTTTTCTTTCTTTATTTTTTTATTGAAGGATAATTGCTTTAGAGAGTCTTGCTATTTCCTGTCAAACCTCCCCGTGAATCAGCCATAGGTATACACTTAAAACCACGGCTATTTAGGGAGCTGGTGTCCATCCCGCTGACGGCTGTAGGTGGATTTGATGATGCTCCCAAACCCCCTTCTGGCCCCCAGTTTTCTGACCCCCTTGCCTAAATGTCTGCTATAAATAAAGTAATAACCAAGTGTCAGGGACTGCAGGAGAGGCTTGGAAGAGCTTCCCAACTCAGCCTTCAGACAGCTCACCAGGGGTGTAAAAATAATTAAAGCTGCAAAGGGAGATGCAGATATTATTTTTAGATATATGTCCAAGATTGGCCTCTCTTCAGCGCCCTGTTCCAAACCCTCACTCGCAGGCTGAGTTTTTAAATGTTAATCCTTCATGTTGTTTCTGTCCGCAATGTTAACTTACAACTCAGAGGACCTGGAGATAAGTTGTTGTAAAAGCAGAGGTACAGATGTGTGCTGGTGGGGTCTCACAGCTGGGCTGGAAGGATGCAGCACTTTGACATTTCCTGACATGTGATCTGTTTCCTGATGCTGCGTGTTGGCGGGCTGTGGGCCATCTACCTGCCTCCAGGTGTGTGGAGAACATCCAGATGCCCCCATGGACAGTTCATTTCATTGAAATCCCCCCATGGACGGTTCATTTCATTGAAATCTGTCATTGAAATCAATGGACTGATGGAAGTCTCTGCTTAAAACTAGAAAAATAGTGGAGGTTGGTATGAAACACACACAGACACACACAAACTATACAGAACCCAGCAGAATTCTATATCTCTTGTAAGGGAATCATTTTTCACTTCCATGTTATCACTTTGCTTTGTCTGTGACAGTGAGGTTAACTCAAGTTACACACACTCTGGGTGGTTTTCCTTGGAAGATGGATTGCTGCAGATGACAGTCTGAATTTGATCACCAGATCCACTGCCTGCATGGTTAGACTGTTCCCACTGACCTAAAGAATCAGTCCCTGGAGAAGGAAATGGCAATCCACTCCAGTGTTCTTGCCTGGCAAATCCTATGGACAGAGGAGCCTAGCAGGCTACAGTCCATGGGGTTTCAAGAGTAAAACACGACTTACTGACTAAACTACCACAAGCAAAGAATCTGTACCATAATTTTTAAAATATTCCTGTGTTCATTTGGCTGCCCTGGGCCTTAGTTGCAGCACTTGGGATCTTTGATATTCGTTGTGTCTTTCGGGGTCCTTAGTTCGGCCTGTGAACTCTCAGTTGCTGCCTGTGGGATCTAGTTACCCTCCCCACCCTGAGGGCAAACCTGGGCCCCCTGCATTGAGAGCTGGGAATCTTAGCCACTGGATCACCAGGGAACCATAATGGTTTTATTTTTGCATCCGACAAGAAAAGTGTTAGTCACTCAGTCATGTCCAACTCTTTGTGACCCCATGGACTCTAGCCCACCAGGCTCCTCTGTCTATGATCTTCCAGGCAAGAATATTGGAGTGGTAGTCATCCCTTCTCCAGGGGATCTTCCCAACCCAGGGACTGAACCCGGATCTCCTGCATTGCAGGTGGATTTTTTTTTTTTTTTTTTTACTGTCTGAACCATCAGGGAGGACAGCGCTGATGATCCAGGTCAAACAGGGCACCGTGAGGCTCAGAAAACTCTCGGTGAGGACAAGATTAAGAGACACGCCTATGGGAATCGCAGAATTGCCATGAGGACCAGGAGGACAAGGGTGACATTCGTGGCCCTCATGAAGCTGATTTGCTCTCTGTGCAAGGGCAGAAACTGAGCTTATTTCAACAAAGAACCAAAACTGTGGAAGCATTCATTCCCCATTGGGTTTAACCCAAACTGGATGGTGTCTATTTGCTTGTTATTCCTCTTGGACTCGGGAGGCAAGAAAGAACGACTCTGGAGAAAGGATGCAAGAGCAACAAGGTGCTGCTGAGATGATGAGATGCCAGCTGAATATATAGACAGTCTGTCCAGAAAGGCAGAGAGCTGGTGCACTTGAGGATTTAGCCAAGGAGAACAGTGGAAACCAATAAATTATTTTGGCTGCTGAGAATAAAAAGCTGTTGGTGGAAAAGGCAGGGAACAGAGTGACTGGGTAGGAAGGAGAGGAGTATCAGGTTAGATCCCGCTTTGGTGCCAGCACCTCTAAAGTTGTAGGAGACAGCTGGCATGGTGGTCATGCCCGAATTCTTGTCTGCAGCTCCCCAGGGCTGCCTGATGGGATCTGGCTTTTGCCTTTGCCATCTGCAGTTAGGAGAGAAATCTCCTTCTAAGATTTGAGCTACTTGTACATTTATCAAATCTTGGATCTTCTGGTTTGTGCCTGCACCAGGGATTAACAAACAGCAAAATGCCATTAAAAGCACCCTCAGAAGGTTGCCGACACCTCTGCAGAGTTCTCACTCAGTCAGAGTCCACGGACTTCCAATCTTGTCGAAACCACTGCTAATTAATACCTTCTCACTTCCCCGCTGAAAGCAAAACAATTTACAATTAAGTCAGGCAGCCTACGCATAATCACTCTAACACCTCCTATGTATGTTTTGAAACGTGCGCTCACATTTCATGATCCGTTTGTTTTACAAGATGGGTAAACGGCAGACAATTATGGTGATAATATGGCTGAGGTGTTTGGTTTTTATCTCTTTGCAGTAAACTGTGGTTGTTCAAGCCTTCACAATAATGGTTTCCATGCCTCTCCCATTTTCTTCCTACCACTTGACAATAAATATGCATTCTCTTTTTTAAACAAAAAAGAATGTTAGTTTATTATAATCACATCACCTATTCAAATAGCAATATAATTAAAAAATTTCTTGGTAGGCACGACTGAAATTAATTATACTAACAAATATATTCGATGGTATGTGTCTCTGAAAATAGAATATTAGGTGTGTTAAGTCTGTTGTGTCTCTTTTTTCTATGCAGTGGCAAAAGGTGCTATCTGGGTACTTGGGCAGGCAATTTTGCTTTTAAAAGACGCTATCAAAGGGCATAAGGATTTAATTTAAGATTTTTTTATTAGAAGGGAGTGTGTCCCACATGTGATTCTAGGCACAGGATCAGGGCTGACAGGCTTCAGAGATTCACAAGCAGTTGGAATGAACATGAAAAATCAAAGCCAGGGTGATGGGGAGAGTTGGACCACAGAGAGCTTCCTAGCATCTTAGACCTGTTCTCTTTATCGCTTGTTCCCTTGAAATGTCCTTAGTCTACTTTTGCCAGAGGCATCCTCAGACTTAAGAAAAAGGAGCTGGGTAGGCTGTTTGTAGAGGTCCAAAAGGATTAAGATTTGAAGGTGAAAGCCCTGTTAGAAACACTTCCCTCAAAACTCTAAACAGTTGACAGTAATATTCTCATTCCTTTTGCCCGCTGGCTCTCTCCTGGGGGTGGTCTCAAAACGTTCTTGGAAAATAGTGTTTCAAGAACACACATAGGCAATCTTTGAGTGTGATTTAGAGATTACTTTCTGAATTGTCCCCTCTGCAGAGCGCATCAGAAAACTATGGTGATGTCACCATGAGCCTTCCTCCACCGTGACACCAGTGTCATTAATTAGGTTACGGAAACACAGAACTAAATTGCCATCTGGAGAGAGTAAAATGAAATACTCTCTTTTTCTTTTTCTGCCTTCTGAATTTTGAATGCGTTACAGTTGGCCATAGCCAAAGCCATCCTTTAAGGCCCTCTGACATTTGAAAGTAAGAAATCTGGGGTCGGACTTTATTCTAAAGCCTTTCTCCCTAGTCCACCAGAGCGCTGTGGATTTTACAAAGTATCTTTGTACATATTAGCTCATTTGTTTGTGAACAAGATCCCTAGCACTTAGCACAAGGGTGGGTGGGTGGGAGGCGTGCTGGGCCTGATTTATTATTTTTTCCACTGGGACAGGAATGGAAGCAAAGGGAGATCTCGGCATCCCACTTCACAGAGATCTCTCTGCCCATCTCTCGTCCTCTCCATGAACTTCCGATCTATGTTGAGGCCCCCACACCGTCACTGCATTTTATTTGGGTGTTACTCTTTAAGGCCAGGGTGCTTCCCATAGCAGTTCTGGGGGCCCCCTCGGAATGCCAGGAGGTGACCCCTTCCTGTGGCTCTGGGGTCTGCCCCTTCTGAAATGTGATCTCCAGTCCTGAGCTCTGATGGGGGAGCGACTTCACACCGCCAAGCCAGCACAGCTGTTTTGTGACTCATGGGAATATCATATTTAGCATGTTTCCTCCAGTGAGATGTATTTATTTAGATGACACATAACACTGTCGAAAAGCCAGGCCTGCGCTGCTCTTATGCTCAGCCTTACGGAGGAGAATGGGGGAGTGAGAAAGGCAGAAGGAGCCTGTTTGGGAGAGCCAGCTGGCTGGGGAGGCCCCTCGGGCCGTTCGGGCAACAAGCTCTCCGCGGAAATCTAAACAGCAGGGAGAGGATACTGGTCCAGGGCAGAAGACAGAGGAAGTGCTTTGTCGCCAGCTCATCCTAAGCATTTGCGGCTCACAAATATTGCCACTGGACCTGGGAGATCGCTGATTGCCCACAAGCATTCTGGAGAGGAAAATACAGTCATCTACCACTTGAGCTAATAGGGTGTTTTGGGAAGTGGTGGTAGCAGTAGGGCCTTTTTCCACTCTGTAGGTCATCCTCTGGAAGGTAACGAGGCCGTCAGCGCTTGAACAAGCCAGATGGCCCACTCAGCAGACAGCAGACTCCCCCCTCCTTGACCCAGTCCCCCAGTTCCGCTGTTCCCAGCCTTGGCATTACTGAGCTCAGAACACCACCCAAACTTAGGGACTGAGGGGAAACACGGGAATGAAATTAACGTGTAAGTGGCGGGCGACCTTCCCATTTTGCCTTTAGCCTTGCTTAGTGATGTCTGGATCATGGGGACTTGGCCAAAGCAGCATGCTGGGGACAATCACTGAGACCTCCCATTCTATGGAAAGCATCACCTTGAAGTTGCTCACATTGTCTCACCTCCCTCCTTCCTGCTCAAACTGCACAGCATCTTGAGTTCTTCCTGTTTTCCGTCGTCAGTTTCCTGGCCTTGCCCTTTTATCTGCTAACCCTGAGCCTTCTCTGCAGCACACCACACCCACTGCCTTCAGCTCTTGCGAGGGAATATTAAAGAAAACTGGGGCTGGCCCCGATCCCTCAGGAGTGTTTTCGCTGCACCGCCCTCTGCAGAAAGGCTCTGTCCCTTCACCCCTGGCGTTTGTTCACGGGTCTGTGTCATTCCCCAGCTGTGTCAAGACAGCCCCCGTCTCAGCTGGTCAGTGGCTCAATTATTTAAAGGGCCTTTAGTGGATAAGATTCCTCTTGAAGTCTTGAAAGGGTACGGAGGTGTCTTTTGAAACTTGGTGGTAGTAAAATCCTTGCTTACCCCACTGTTGTGCCACCACTGGGCATCTAGAAGGCTGTGAGTATGTCAGTCAAGACCAGAAGAGGCATGCAGCAGTGGGTAGCTGATCAGGTATAGCAACGAGGAGCCTAGGGAGCAGTGCAACACAGGACACAAGCCTTTCCTGCCGGGGTCACCTTTAGGCTGTTGCAGAATTGGCCTTGGATATAGGCTGCAGGGCTTCCCTGGGGGCTCAGATGGTAAAGGATCTGCCTGCAATGCATAGACCCAGGTTCAATCCCTGGGTCAGGAAGATCCCCTGGAGAAAGAAATGGCATCCCACTCCAGTATTCTTTCCTGGGGAACTCCATGGACAGAGGAGCCTGGCGGGCTACAGTCCATGGGGTCACAGCGTCAGACACGACTGAGTAACTAACACACTCCCTTAAAGGCAATAAGGGAGCCTATCTTTCAAGAGTCATCCTCCAGCTTCCCTTTTCAACCCACTCTCCAGTCCAGAGCCCTGCTCTGGTCTTCGGCTTCTGGTTCCCTGCAAAAAGTCAGGAAACGATCACTCTCTTTGTTCTATCCTGTAGGGCAAAAGAAATCACAGTTTTCTGTGGGTGTAGTGAGGTTGATGGTGATAATGAAGAAGAAGATGATGATGATAATGAAGATCGTGTTGAAGATGGTGGTGGTGATGCTTTTGGTGATGGAGATAATAATGATGGAGGTGGTACTTGAGATAATGATGATGATGATATGGTAATGGCATCAGTAACTAAAGAGTACAAGACACCAGTCTTAGCAGTTTGCATTTGTTAACTCATTCAATCCTCCAAACACCCTTATGAGCCAAGTATTTTTTATGATTGATCCCATTTTACAGGTGAGGTAATCAAGGCATAGAGTTGTTAAGTAACTTGCTTAAGGTGACAATAGCTGGTAGAAGCAGAGTCAGGGTTTAGACCTAGACAGTCTGCTCCAGAGCTCACACTTTTGGCCACTGCACTAAAGGTATAGATGCTCAGAGGCTTTGAGGTGGTAAATCTGGAAACCAATGAACTCGTATTTCTATTATGTAGAGCTATCATTAATTAGGTTACATGACCCCACAGTGAGGATGAGATGGGAGTTGAGGGGACAGAGAATCCTACTATGTCACACCCTTTCTCAAAAAGAATCTCATGTAGAAAATGAAGACAAGCAGAGCTATTTGGGAAAAACAGGTAAGGAGGCCTGGATTCTTGTTCAATGATCTTTCCAAAGACCCTCAAAGTGGCTCTGAAGGCTCTGCCCCGAGGGGCTGCAGAATTTGGATGGAAAATCTTTTGGTTGAAAGTGTAGTCAAGAATAATGGCCACTGCTTATTACATACCTGCTACCTGCCAAGTTCAGTTCAGTTCAGTTCAGTCGCTCAGTCATGTTTGACTCTTTGCGACCCCATGGACTGCAGCATGCCAGGCTTCCCTGTCCATCACCAACTCCCAGAGCTTACTCAAACTCATGTCCATCGCGTTGGTGATGCCATTCAACCATCTCATCCTCTGTTGTACCCTTCTCCTCCTGCCTTCAATCTTTCCCAGCATCACGGTCTTTTCCAATGAGTCAGTTTTTCCCATCATATGGCCAAAGTATTGGAGTTTCAGCTTCAGCACCAGTCCTTCCAATGAATATTCAGGACTGATTCCTTTAGGATTGACTAGTTGGATCTCCTTGCAGTCCAAGAGACTCTCAAGAGTCTTCTCCAACACCACAGTTCAAAAGCATCAATTCTTTGGTGCTCAACTTTCTTTATAGTCCAACTCTCACATCCATACATGACTACTGGAAAAACCATAGCTT